GGGTGGGGGCTCTGTGCCCGAGGGAGCGCTGTTTCCGCGCAAGGCACTGTCCAGGGGTGGGGGGCGCTGTCCCCGGTACTGTGGGGGGTGGGGGCTGAGCCGCTGAGTTGGGAGGGCAGCCAGTGCGGGCAGCCCTGGGCAGGGTCAGTAACCTGCAGAGGCACCTGAGAGCGGCTGCCCACGCCGAGGTAGACTGGCAGCGCCCTGAGTCACCGTGAGTCACCACATGTTCCGGGGACTGACCAGGTCCTCCGGGTCACCGTAGTCATAGCTCTCGTCCTTTCATGATTACAACATTTTTAGTGAGTTCTGAGCCACATCTGGAGATAAAGTCTGTGGCTAACTGTCTTGGCTCCTTGAGAATAGGTCACCCCTGGGCTCGGGCAGGCTCCTCAGGCTCAGCACCATTCTTCTCTGACTAGAAGCCCGCAGGGCGGTCCTGTCACAGCCCCGCTGCCCCTTACTGAGTGTGAACCTCACTGGGGTGCAGTATGTTTGTGCAGACCTCAGGGAGTCCCCCCACTGGGGACCACTCATTTCAGATCCCCATGACACCTTTTCTGTTGCTTCAACTTTGTTCTTCAGATTCCACATACAAGTGAGGTCATATGGTATTTGTCTTTGACATGTTACTGAACATAATACCCTCTAGATCAGCGGTTCTCAACCTGTGGGTCGCGACACTTTGGGGGTTGAGCGACCCTTTCATAGGGGTCACCTAAGACCATCGGAAAAAACATTTTCGATGGTCTTAGGAACCGAGACACCGCTCCTCTATCCGTCTCCAGGTGGGTCCACCCACATGCAGATACGCTCACATATGGGTACCCCGCATATTAAAGGGTCGCGGCATTAGGAAGGTTGAGAACCACTGCTCTAGGTCCATCCATGTGGTGGCAAACGGTGAAATTTCATTCTTTTTTGTGGCCGAGTGATGTTCCATTATATATGGAGCAGAATGGATGTTCAGTGGCTGGGACACAGCCTGTGTCCACGGCTTTTTATCTGCTCGCTGCTCCATTCCACCTTTAAACAACCAGCTCCCTATCTTAACAGAGCAGCTGGGCCTTCTCCCCGCTATCTCCTGCATCTGGCCTAGGCCAGTGTTCACTCACAGGGGGCAAGAAGCTTGCTCTACAGCCTCTACAGTGTTTCAGTCAGAAGGAACAGCAAGTACAAAGGCCCTGAGGCAGGAGCATATTACCATGTTCCCAGGCTGCTCATGCACCTAGGTGCCCAGACTGTGTGCCTCACTGGGCCCAGGCGGGCAACCAACAGTGAAGAGGCACTACTACTAATACGCTCTCCACTGCTGCTCTCCAATCAGGGCCTCAGGTAGCTTCCTGGTGACAAGGCCTTGGATGATAACCGGCTTTTAAAAACCATGGTTCTATTCTGTGAGTGCTGACTGCCCAGGCAGAAAGCCGCAGCCATGACACCCATGCTCAGGGCCACACACTGCTGAGGGCGGTGGGCTAGGGCCCCACCACTGGTGTCCCACCTCCCTAGTGAGTGAAAAACAGGTCTTGAATCCAACAATTTCTTACCACTCCACTTCTACCATCCTGGTCCAAGATACCATCATCTCTCATCAAGATTATTTCAGTAGCCTTCTAATTGGTCCTTCTGCTTCCACCCTTGCCCTCATCATGTCTCTGTTCAATATAGCAGCCAGCCAGAGTGACCCTTATTAAATGAATTGATGTCACTCCTCTGTTTAAACATATTGCAATGTGTTTCTCAAACTTCAAAGTGCATGCACATTATCTGGAAGATTCTGATTCAGGAGGTCTGAGGTGGGGCTTGAGATTCTGCATTACTAAGAAGTTCCCAGGCAAGGCTGATGCTACAGGTCCATAAACTATGCTTTGAGTAGTAAGGACCTACAAGGCCTTGAGTAATCTGGTCTCTGTTATTTCCGCTTTCCCACTATTCCTTCTCCCTCACTTACTCTCTCCAGCCACTCTGATCTTGCTACTCTTCAATAATATACTCCTGCCTCAGGGCCTTTGCACTTGCTGTTCCTTCTGACTGAAACACTCTCCCCTAGGTATGTGCATGGCCTGCTCTCTCACCTCCCATGCTGCACTTTCTACCACTACTCCCCCACCCACCAATGCTTTTGCTTTTTCTTCTTAACACTTTATCACCTTCTGATATGCTATATAATTTATCTTATCATCTGTTCTCCCTACCAAATGTAAGTGCCATAAAAGCAGAGATTTTTGTTTTGCTGTAAAACAAGGTCTGGCAAAGAGTAGGCACTCAATAAATACTTGAATGACTGCTTATAGCCATTAGGTAGACCATGAATCTGAAATATGTTGATAGCTGGTGTGAAAAGAGTCAAAATAACATGAATCCAGGCATAGCGTTCTCAGAGGAGCAGGGTTCATTTCAAGCATAATGCCTGGAACACAGCAGACATAAAAATGTTATATCCCCTTTTGCTTTCCATCCATTCACAAAGTTATTTGAAGTTTTGTCTCACTCTAAGGCTATGTGACCACATAGTGAGCTAATTATGTCCAATATTCACTCTATCCTAGTACAAACTTATCTAGTCAGAGATTTTGAAACCTGAAGTAATTTAAAAAGGTAAAATATGCAGAGCTCTTGCTTTTCCTGGTCATATATCCTACCATTAGCTATCTTGATAAATGGCAAGTTTAGAGATCAGAAAGTAAGGCTGGTGGACGTAAGCAAGACCATAAACCATGACCACAGAGAGAGGGAGCTTGGGAGAAGGGCTCTTGCTCAGAATTCTGAGTATAATTTTGTAGGGGAGAACTGGTGGGGACCACTGAAACAATATTACAACCTACGTTTTTATGCTGCTTTAAACACGTTTTTCAAAATTTGTTAATCTATATTATTTTATTCTTATGCCATTACTCAGAGGTAAAGTTGCTACTATCAGTTGAGTAAACTGGAACATGTAAAGACAGTAAATGACTTATTCAAGCTCTTAATGAGCATACGCCTCTCCTGACTTGTTTCCAATGTTGTGGTGATGCTTAGAGTATTTGTTGACCAAAAGATCTTTTGGAGAACAGAGGTGTTTTTTTTAAAAAAAATATATTTTATTGATTTTTCACAGAGAGAAAGGGAGAGAGATAGAGAGTTAGAAACATCAATGAGAGAGAAACATCGATCAGCTGCCTCCTGCACATCTCCCCACTGGAGATGTGCCCGCAACCCAGGTACATGCCCTTGGCCGGAATCAAACCTGGGACCTTTCAGTCGCAAGCCGACGCTCTATCCACTGAGCCAAACCGGTTTCGGCTGGAGAACAGAGGTTTGATGTGACAAATAACTACAACCTACAGACTCCCAATTTATAAGGGAGATGAAGTCTAGAAATTTAAGAGTATATATATGGAAAAGTATAGAGATGGAAGGAATCATGAGTTGGTATGATTGGTCTAGGCCAGTGATGGCAAACCTAAGACACGCGTGTCAGAGGTGACACGCGAACTCATTTTTTTGGTTGATTTTTCTTTGTTAAATGGCATTTAAATATATAAAATAAATATCAAAAATGTCTTTGTTTTACTATGGTTGCAAATATCAAAAAGTTTCTGTATGTGACACGGCACCAGAGTTAAGTTAGGGTTTTTCAAAATGCTGACACGCCAAGCTCAAAAGGTTCGCTATCACTGGTCTAGGCCAGTGGTCGGCAAACTCATTAGTCAACAGAGCCAAATATCAACAGTACAACGATTGAAATTTCTTTTGAGAGCCAAATTTTTTAAACTTAAACTATATAGGTAGGTACATTGTTATTAACTTAATTAGGGTACTCCTAAGGCTTAGGAAGAGCCACACTCAAGGGGCCAAAGAGCTGCATGTGGCTCGCGAGCCGCAGTTTGCCGACCACGGGTCTAGGCTGACAACTGTCTTTTTCTCTCTTAGGATGCACCCATTGACATCTCTTATATGTTTGAAGGCCAGTCACTAGTTCACAGGTAATGAACATTTGGAGACTTATTTGAAATGGGTGGTAAAGGTCATTATACCCCAGGAATCCAGGAGGCCCACAGCAACAGATAATTCACATAATGGTCACCTTTCTCCTTTGGACCACCTACCGCATTAGGATGGACTGAAAGTAGGACACTGCTACTGTTCTAGAAGATTGTTTTTGTTTGCTTTTTAGTATCTTGTTTTTCAGTGATTATAAACTTGAGGATTAGTTGGAGTAGGGTGGTGGCAAAGTGGGTCATGTCTATTGTTTTTATAGGAAAATTCACAATTACATTGAATTAACTCATATATAACCTCTTTTATTTGTATAGCAGCTCTTTTAAAGAATATATATAAGCTCATTAATTCTTGTATTGACTGGGCCTAAGGAATAGATACAGTCTTAGACCACCCCCCCCCAAAGGCTTTTTGCTCACCAGGAATGAAACAGAGTAAACAGGGAATCAATCTTTGGCTCAATGGTTCCTTTTATTTTTAAAAGCTTTTGGTATGTTTGTTTTTCTTCCTCTGCAGACCAGGAACGACTCGCTTTCGAGAAAATTGGGTGAAGGAAATGGTTGTGGCCAAACATAATATAATGAAGTCATTTCCCTTCTAATTCAATTGTGTCCGACTCTTACAGAATGTTTTATGATTGGATTTCTAATCAGAATGTATTAAAAAACACCATATGGCACATCAAACCACAACATATTTATTGAATAATAAACCGGTGACACACAATCCAACTGTATTTTTTTTTTGCATTCATTCTCCATTTGGCAACTTCCATCATGCTAACAGAATAACCAGTAAGTTGTTTTCTATTTCCTAAAAGGTTTTCCCCATCACTATCTGCATCACTCAGAGTCTTACAAGTATAGAAGTTAAGTTTAGAGAATTGCTAAAATTCACCTGTCAGACCAATTGAAATTGGTACTTGACTGCCTATTCTCCCATTTGAGCTAAGTGTCCAGCCTAGACACAACTCTTTTTTGTTTGCTTTTGTTAATCCAAACCCAAGGATATTTTTCCCATTGATTTTTACAGAGAGTGGATGGAGAGAAAGAAGAGGAGAGAGAGAGAGAA